CTCGTACGGTGGGGGGCCGGCTTGGCACGCCTGTAGGCCGACAGCGCGGATGCGCACCACGCCGCGTCGCCCGCTGCCGTCTGCGCCTTTGAAGCCCCCGCCACCACCGCTTCGAGGCGCCCCGCGCCCATTGTATCCGCCGCACGCTCGTCTGGCGCGCCCGCTGCGGGTGCGCGTAGTGTCCGCCGCTTGCTGTCGCCGCAGCCGCTAGCTGCCCGCTGCTAGCACGTCTGATCAGCTCTATTTTGAGGTTCCCTCGCGGTACTACTCCGCACCGGCAGAACACCCGGGTTTGATGGGAAGCACGGGGTGCCGTTCAAAAACCAGCGGTATCACAGAGCGCTGATGTGATGGATAGGCAGGCACATATCAGCGGCGCGGTGCCTGGACACCACCACACACACCTGCTGCCAAGAAGTGGTAACACGGAAGAACTCGAGCTTGATCATTGTCACATGCGGATGATCCCCGGGCAAAGCGCATGCCCTGCTCCCAGCATCTCTCAAGTATGTCCGCATGGTACGTACAGAATCTCTGAACTATACTCTCGGCGCGTCTGCCAGGCACTTGCGGCGCGAGGCGGGTGCAAGCAGCATCCCGTGACTTCCCACTCTCGCCGGCCTGCATGTGTCCGGCAACTCACGGCATCACGGAGGGGCGCCACCACCCGACCTCTCCTAATAGCAAATTTCGGATGTTCCAAAGATGGTAGACACATACTTGCCAATGGTATCTGATTGCACAGCGCTGGTGCGTGCGACTGGTTTGGAGCTAGAATGATAGAACAGGCGGAGTGTGTTGAAATGGCACAAGGGGCACTCAGAATGGTCGAATCTGACCTACATTGGTCAATAGTGATCGAGATCCTGCTCAGCACTTGATAGTGTGGGCAGGGGCTTCGTGTTGCATGGGCAAGACTCCAGGAATGCACTGACTGATGGGGCATGCTAACTGAAAAGGAAGCAGCAGGCGGGATCGCTTCTTGACCATGGATCCACCCTCTTGCCTGGACTGCTGCATTTCCACGTGACGTATTGCTGCAACGGGGACTGCAGCGGGGATCTGATGCTGGCCATCAGCAGGTGGTTTGAGGCACACAAAAAAAACCATGGTTACCTCGACCCAGGAGGACGCTGGGGCAAACAAGTATCCAGGGGAACGCACAGCGCACAGTCTTGAAGATCAGTCCATGCTGCGGCTGTCATGGCACTGCTTGCTGGCCGCCTGAGAAAAGTGATTGGGGGTTGATTTCACGCTTCTGTAATCGTGACGCCACGCTTCTGTAGCTCTCATCACCTGACGTCATGATGACGTCAGCGAACACGGAACGACTCCACCACGTGCTGCAGCAGCTGCCGCTTCGCCTCGCTGTACTGATCGCCCCGCGCGCTGCATGTGGGAAACGGCAGGCGGGCCGGGTTGATCTTTGGGCGCTCTGGCCAGCACTTTGAACCCAGGAGGTGGGCAATGGAGACTTCCTCCATGGACCCTGCCTCCACCCCATGCACATGCACCGCCACGTGCCACCGCTCTGTTCCGATCATGCGACATGTACAACCACAAAGGCCGCGGCCGCACCACGTGACAAAATTGCGATTCAAATGTAATGAAAGTCCAGCTTCCACAAAGACATTGCAAGCCACAAAATTGCATGCAGTGGAATCACCTGGCCGCGATGGTGTACAGCTTCCCCCGCTTCACGGCCGCCACCGCAAAATTTTGCCGCCGTATCTGGTACCCGGATCTCGTGATCGTCTCTGCGGGCAGCCGGGCGGCGGTTTCGGGGGGCTTTGGGCGGTTTGGGGCCGTTGCTGTTGTTGCGTCATGCGTCTTTGGCGGTGCCGGCTGCGATCCCAGGATTGTTGGCTCACAAAGACGTTGCCTGGATTCACAGAGCAGAGCGGCTGCTTGGTGACACCTTGTGTCCGCCTGAGGGCCCACCACCCTCTGCATCTTCACATGCCCACGCGGCTGCCAGCATTTTCAGAAGCACATCGGGTGATCTTCACAGGGGCGCCGGGCGGCCGGCGCAGTGCGCACCTGAGGGGAACTCGAGGTATGTGTACTCCTGTGGGCAAAACAGGGGCAGAGGGTTGGGTCAGGGTTTAGGGGCTGATATGCTTTGTTTTAAAGGCTTGACCGTTCTGACTCAACATGCTTTACCCTGAAGGCATCAACCGCACCGCGGCGGGCGGGGAAAAGAGGTTAGGCACGGGCACCGGCGACGCAGGGGCCGGCCTGCGCGCAGCAAGAGGTTTGAAGCAGGCCGCCCCGGGCGCCGCCCGCAAAGCAGCGCCCGTCAATCGTGGCGGGCATGGCTCTGAAACCCTGAACTCAAGGGCGGCGTGAGAACGTCGCCCTGTGTCAGGCGCCCCCCTGCCATTCACGACCGAATCCCACAACTCCCTCCAACATTCACAAGTTCACAAGCAAAGCACAGCGGCACGCCCAACCGTTGCCGGGACCAACCCTCCAATCAAATCTGTCCGGCACGGGAGTCCAATCCGCGCACCTGCCCGTCCAACGTGAGTGACGTCACTTTGACGTCACTTTTGGGCGGCAGCGTGAGCAGATCGTCCTGCGTCAGGCGGCCCCCGCCAGGCAGCACCGCGGCCGTCACCGCGGCAGTCGCCAGGTCGCCGTCCTCGGGAATGCCGAGCACCTCCACCGCGATCTTGTCGGCGGTCTGCGGGGCGAGGTTCGACGCGTCCGAGGTCACACATCCGAGATTTCGTGCTTCCAGCCCCGCCGGGCGCAGCGGGCACGCATGTGGTTCATTCTTGGCGACAAAGCGGCTTTGCAGGTAAGCTGGTGCCCCGGCCTTGCGGCACGCACGCTTTTCCCGGGAGCGCGTGGCAACAGAACTTAGGCCAGCTTCCCGCCGGCTTCCCGCTGGCTGCCGCGCTACCCGCCTGGAAATCGGAAATGTACACGCCCTTCCTGAGGCTGTTGGGGCGGCTCACCCAGGCCTTCGGATACTGAAGGGAGAGGGAGTGTGTGGGCGTTGGGTTTTGAGGCGTCCAGTTCCAGGGGGTGGTGGCGCCTTGTCCCGCACGTGGGAATTACATTTTTGAGGCGGGCCCTTCCCCCCGTTTTTCGACACGAAGCTTTCATCGTGCACACGTGCCGCGACACCAGGCTCGCGGCTTTGTACATGAGTTGCTGCAACCTCAGCCTCCGTTCCCGCCACCTCCCACCCCACAACCCCCCAAAGTTCAAGGAACCTGCACAGCACACACACCACCTCTCGGCCGCACTACGCCGCTGCTCAGCCGAACCCGCAGGTGTAGGTCGTCCCTGCATCTCAACTGCTTCACGGGCCCCCTGTCCGCCAGCGATCGTGGGGACCGACCCCCCTCCCCCCCCGCAAAGCGCACACACTCAACAACCCCCATCACCTGCCTAGAAAACGTGCCACCCTCTGCATCCAATGCCCCTCTGACATACTTCTATTTGAAATCATTTGCCTCCTGAGTTGATGCAGAATCTTCGAAAACTTTCAAATCACCCCCTGTGATTATTTGTCACCCTGTAATCCCCGAGTAGCCCCCTCACCGCGACTCACCTCGAATGTGTACTCATCTGCAAACTCGTCCCACACCTTGTAACCCGCTGATGCCTTGAGCGTCGGCAGCCCGTAACCCGAAAGCACGCTGTTGATTATGGTGGTCGCGTCGTCGCTGCCGACCACCATCGGCACTAGCAGCGGCGCCAGGCTGCCGCGCAGCAGCACCCGCCGCCTGCTGCCCTTGCCGCCGCCGCCGCCGCCGTCGCCGCCGCTGCAGCTTGTGCTGGTCTCGGCCGCCGTGTGCCGGTCAGGCGCAGCTTCGCCGCTGTGGCTCGCCGGCGCCGGCGATGGAGGAGGGGTGGCGTGGCATCTGCTGCGCCGCTGATGCTGCCGGGCGTCAGCTGATGTTGCAGCAGCAGGTGCGTGGCGCGTCGCACGGAGCTGCAGCGAGAGCCGTTTTTCAATGCCTAGCATTCTCAAGTTTTCAGGCCAATGTGCTATCAAGGAGGCCTCCGACAGCGATCGCGATTGCGTTGGGAGCGTCGGTGGTGTGCTGGCCCGTTCGCGAGCCACAAAATGATTACAAATACTGCGTATGCATGGTTGGTCATGTCGCTGAGCGTTCTCCCGGGGTGCCATTCTGGTGACTGATGCGCCATCACCCAGCGGCGCCGATGCGGCCACCCGCATCGCCGCTCGCTGTCGGACAGCCATCCCCGCGACCGCACCCCCAATAGCCATTTCTGCCGCGCTTGGAGCACGATAGTTAGCGGTGAAGCATTCGCTGACGCCGTTCTCGAAGCTCCTTGCGCCCCCAATCCACAGCTGAAACAGGAAGACGGCGGCTGGCAAGCATAGCGGCTGCATCAAACCCCGTTGACCGCTTGGCGAACAACGCCTGCTGCAGCATCCCTGTCGCCTGCACAGCGATCACCCAAGTGCGCCTCAGCATTCGCGCAACCTGGTGTTAAAACCGATACTGCGCGCCTCTTGCAAGGGGCCTTGGCCCTTGCTACTCTACGCCCACCCTTCCTACACGAAGCCATTTTGCAAGAGGTTGAACCGACGCCTGAATCTGCATTAAAACCAATGAAATTCCAATATAGATGCCACAAACAGGAGGTTGCACCGCTCTGCACGCGCTCAGAGGCGCATGCTCGCCTCTGCGACGAGTAGGCACTGGGCAGGGGTGATGATTGTACCGCCGACCTCGGCAACAATTGAAGCGCGCTCTGCTTCAGCGTGGAGTGGCAAGCGTCAAGAAACGAGGCTCTGAGATATCCATGGTGTGAGGGCAGGCGCCGGGCTCAAAGCCAAAGCGCCAGCTGTGCAGTCGGACTGGTCAAACGAGTCAAAGGGAGTCAAATTCAAAGGCATGTTGCATCACTAAGAGATCGCTTGGCGCCGGCCAACGAGGGGCCCGGTGGATTCAAACGAATGCAGGAAGTGGCTGCTCTCTGTACTGGTTCCCCCCTCCCCAGTGATCGACCGCCGCACAGCCAAGGCGAAGAGCTGCAGCGGCGAGCATCAGTGGATGTTGGTTTGCCTGTCAGGGCAGCACCCGTGGCGCCCAGGGGTTCGCTCGAAACTGGCAGGGCCCGCGGCCGGCCTCTGTCCGCAAAGTGCAATAACGGTTGAGGAATACCTGCGACTGCGGTCGCAGGAGGCGCCTGGGTGTGGGCAGTGGGCAGCCTCTCAGCCCGCCGGCGTCGGCCCCTTGTGGCTGGGGCCGACGCGGCTGGGGCCGATGAACAAATGCACATGCGTGCAAAGTAAGGGGGCATGCCAAGGGGCCTGGCAGGGTTGCAAGCAAAGCACGGGGGCCAGCACCTGCAGCCCCCAAGCAGCCGGCTGGTCGGGAAGGGATTGTGCGCCCAGCCGCGGCTGTACATGCGCCAGGCGGACGCTTCGCCCAGGTTGGCGCCGGTGATTCGGCACGGCGTCCTGCTTGTCTTATAGGGTGTGTGCTGCGTGGACCTATATCATCATCACACGTGCACCACGACTGATTCTATACATGTGGTTTCACACGATGCTACGCCTCTACTCAATTGCCAAATAGGCGGCAAAGCTGTGTCATTTGGTGGACGCCGCCGCCAGGTCAGCAGCTGCAGCTGCAGCTGCAGCCGCGGCGGACGGCCCCACGCCCAGCCGCGGCCTCCTGCCAGACGCGCCCGCGAGTCTGGTGCCGCGGGTGGCAGGCCCCTGCCTCCTGCGCCAGAATCTGCAGGCCGCCGTCGATGCCAGCTGGGCTCTCCCACCAGACGCCGCCGGCCCTCGCCGCTCGCAACCTCTCGCGCGGCGTGCGCTGCGCGCACGCTCTCGCGGCCTCGCTCTGCCCTGAAATCAGACGCCGGTCTGATTCGGATCGCCGCCCGCCGCTGCGCCGCGATACCCAGGTCAAGGAGAGGCTCCGCGCGCCGCAGATTGCACCCTTTGCCGATTGCCCCCGGCGGAGGCTTACGCCGCCTTCACCGCCGCCGCGGGCGGCACGATGAACACCACCGCCGCCGCCTCGCCGCTGCTGAGGGCGCTGCCCGCCCGCGACGCCGCCTCGGGGTGCGCGGCGGCGTCGGCGGTCAGCAGGTCGCCAGACAGCATGTGTGACATCAGCGCAGCCACCCCCGCCGCCGGCGCAGCCGCGGCTGGCCCGGTGGCGGCAACGGGTGCAGGTGATGCGGCCCAAGGCGGGCGCTCGATGGGGCCGCTGGTGAGGCGCATCTCTTCAACGAACCCGCGGCCCTCCTGCAGCAGCAACTGCTGCTGCGGCAGCTGCACGGAAGCCGCCGCCCACTCGTCCACTACGCTCGCCGCCCGCGACGGCGCCCGCGTGACCGCCGCGCTGCTGTCGCCGCCGCCGCCGCCGCCGCAGGCGGCGCGGGGGCCCGAGGCCCTCAGGCCGCCGTAACTCGTCAGCAGCGCGCCCGCGCCGCCTGATGACGTCATGCCGCTCCCTATGTAGCTCGTGCCCGTCCGCAGCGCCGCCACGATGTCCGCCTGCCGCCGCGGCGTCGCCTGCGGCGACGGCGACGGCGCCGGCGACGCGGCGCCCTTTGTCCGCTGCAGCGCGGGCGAGGTGGACGATAGATACTGGGAAGGCGGCGCCAGACTGCTGGCTGTGTAGAGCTGGTGGTTGTCCGCCGAAAGCAGCGCCGCCGCCCGCGCGCGCGGGGACGCGCCGAGGCTGAGGCTGCCGACCGAGGGGATCCGCCTGTGGAGCCCGCCGCCGCCGCCGGGCGGCGTCGCCGCGCCCCGCGCGCCCGTCGGC